CGGAAGTCAGCATTTTTTCTGCCTCAGCCTCCCCAAATAGGCTGGATTACCAGTGCCTGCTAACCACGCCCAGCCAGCTATTTTTGTCATTTTAGTTAGAAACAGGGTTTCATCATGTTGGTCAAAGCTGGGGTCTCAAACTCCTGACGCTAAGTGATCTGCTGCCGCCTCGCCTCCCAAAGTGCTGGGATTACAGGCGTTGAGCCACTGCACCTGGCTAATGTAAAGTTAAAAAAATTAAGTAAATGAAGTATTGAATTTAATTTAAAAAAAATAAAAGATCAAGGGAGGCAGTTACTGTTCGACATTTCTAAGCCTGGGGGACTTTCCAGAATTCAAGGCCAGTTCTGCAGTTACCGGCCGCCTGGAAACGTATTTTATGGGGCAATTGATCCTTTTTCTAACTGTAGCTCCTATCGGAAATGAGACAATAGGGTCTCCCTGATAGGACTGCTATAAGGGTTTAGGCAAGATGTGGGAGGTAAGAAATACTTAGTAAAATGCGTTGGGCCCACATGGGCAAAGTTGTCAAATGGAGGCTGCGGCGATTATTACAGATTAATGCGACCTGTTCAGGCAAATCTGATATAAACTCCATTCTCACACACACCACACCAAGAATTACTTACATAAATCTGTCCCGTACTTGAGTCCCACTTTGGGCACCCAGCCCTTGCTTCGAAAGTAATGGTAGGCCATGTAGGTGGTTCTGAACGTGGGCTGAACTACAGTGAAAGCTTTCCAGAGTTTCACTATCGTTAAAGGCTCCTAAAGTTATTTACAAAAAACAAAAAGCATTACTGTGTATGCATTCTCCCTCCCTTCAGCCAGAGCGTCAACATCTGTACTAAGTGTGGAGCTGAAGCAGCGAATAAAACGCATTTCCCCCAGCACAGCAATTTATTTTATTTTATTTTTGAGACAGAGTCTCGCTCTGTCACCCAGGCTGGAGTGCAGTGGCGCGGTTGTAAAATACTTAGTAAAATGCTTGGCACATGGCAAGTGCTCAATGACGGCTGCGGCGATTATTACAATTATATGACTGTTCTCACTCGGCAGATGAGGCCACTGAGGCCTGGGGATAAGGGACTCTCCCAAATTACCCAGTCTCATGGCTAGTGAGACGTGGGGGTGGGTGCTATAGAATGCTTTTCTTTTTTTTTTTCTTTTG